GAGTAAACATTAAATGGCATGATAGTAAGAAAGGAAATAAACATCTCCTCTGTGTTGCGATACAGTGTGGTGGTTTAGAGAGAATTGTGTCATCCTAAATCAGGAGAGAGCAGTAGAGAGCTTGTGTTGAGTCAGAGGAAAGGAAAATTAGCAAAAGTCTGAGTGCAAGAAGCATGGGAGCTCCCCACAGTTATCTAGCAGAGTCCAAATAAAACATCTCAAACCAAGTAACAGAAACAACCTGAAAAATCTTTGAAAAATGCATAGCAAAATATGTCTCCAAGTGATCCTGACAGTCCATCTAATCCAGTTGTCTTCCCAGAGGCAGGATCTTTCCAAAGCATTATGACCAATACGTTGGAGCTTAAACCCACAATCTCTTTGGCTATTATTATATTGGCCTATCTGAAAACAGAACAGTATCAGTTTCCTCTACCTGCAGGTCATTTCCAACCTGTCCTAGACTGATGAGGCAGGCTTTAAATTCATCCGAATGTAGATTGTCAGATTCATCCTAGCATCCCATCACAGGTCATGCATTTGGGAAGGTGAAAGGACAGAAAGAAAAATCACAGATCAGGTTAGTTGGTTAGTAAAGAACATTCTATTCTTGTATTAATAACCATGTTATTACAGAACCTCATGGAAACGTAATGTCAACATATTGCAATGAATTACCTAAAAAGTGTACAACTTCTGCAGTTTCATGCTTTAGGTTTTTTCTTAGTGGAAGAGGGTCCTTACTTCAACTACAGAGTTAAAACTGTGCTTCCTCTACAGGTGCTTTTTTAACATTTTTGCTGATAATGCAGTTTTTATTCTATCAAACTGCCATTTCCTTCCTTCGTTTTCTATTGTCACACAGTGTATATGAGATGCACTAAAAAGATCACTGAACCTGGGCAAAACATTTTTTCCTCACTCAATTATTGTTACTTCACTCTTGACCTGATAATAATACTTTAACAACTGAATATGCGTATCTCAAAAGAGAGTAGAAGTACAGACCAATTGATTTCTTGTTTAGATCCAAAATAAATTTATAACTGATATAACTTGTTTTCAGTTTTCTGTCTTGTTTAATAACCTAAACAGTAAAGTTTTGCTTTGAAAACTGACTTTAAAAAAGCCCCACTCAATTCCCGGTTAAATGGCTCCTATAACACCACATCAAACTGGATCATTGTTTTGAACCAATATTTTTTTCCATTTTGCAGGTCAAGAAATTCACACTAACTTCTTAAAAACAGACTGGCTCATCTTTTTCTTCCTGTTCATACAAAATGTGTCCTATCAGAGGTGTATTTCAGATTGAGTCAACATGTATACACTTAGAGATGTTCTAAGATGAAAAATTATTACCCTTATTGATTTTACAGACTGATGTCAAGTTTGGAGAAGACCCAAGGTTTTCTGTCTACTTATTTGCCTGCTGGATGAATAATCTATTTTTGAAAATTTCTGCATATAGTTATGCATAACTAAAATTATAGGAGTTCTAATAAATGCACTGGGTGTATTTAATATACTAATAGGATAAAGTGGTGCTTTAATTTCGTAACACAATGCATTTTTGACATATCATGCTGTTATTACATTGACTCCCTCTGCATCGACCTCCACCAGCTCCATAAAGGGAAGATGAAAAATAACAGTGGGAAGCCAATGATGAGAGATAAAGCAAAGCTGCAAATCTGGAGAAGCATTTAGTTAAAAGTCATAACTACAATGAAGTTTTTTTCCTTTAACATTTCTATTTTATAGGATAATTTCTGCTATAAAGCATTCAAAATGGTTTATTTTATCATTCTGAAAATGTTAATCTAGGCTGGCTTGAAATTCTCCAAAACCATCCTAGAGACAGGCTACAGCAGGTCACACCAGGAGTTAAGTCAGCTCATTTTACCTTATTTCTAAAGCTGAAGATATTACTGTGTGACTGCAAACACAATGATATCGAAATGGGAGCTAAGAGCCAAATCCTGTTCCTCCACCTCCTCTACCAGGTGTTGGTAGAGGACTATTAGCTACTTGACTACACCAGGGGGGTGGGTGGTCAGGGTGTGCATGAGCTCCCTAAGCCAGGCACACATGGCAGCGGTAGTGGTGCAGCAGGTAGTGAAGGGCAGATGGGAGTGGGAGAGGCTGGCACATCTACCATGAAAGCATTTCCTTTAGGAGAGGAGCGTAATGGTTGTGCTGGAGTTCACAACCGTCATCTGGTTGAGCAGTACTCCCCGGTGAGGGTCCAAGCAGTTGTGCCATGTGCTATAGCAGGTTCTCACATTCTCGTAGTGATTTTTTTCAATCTGCATCATACGTGGCCTAAAAAGGCATCTTTGCCTTTGCAGTACATCAGAGTTTCATGAAGTACAATGGTATTTTGCAATTAATGCATAAATCAAGCCCATGTAAGAGCTTTCTCATTGGAAAATGGTTCTTTGTATTTATTTTTATTGCTTGCAGATCAACATTAAGCACTGAAATTAGTTTTTTAACGCATTGCCTTGTTCATCTTTACCTGCTAATACAAAGTAAAACACTGAAATCCCCCTCCATGTTTCACTATTAGTCCCCAGAAATCTTTTCCTTCCCCTTTGAGATTTTTATGTGGCTTTATAAAAGAAGTGAGCTTCCAAGTCAAAGTAATCCATTCTTAAATATGTCCTTCAGTTTCCTGAATGCTAAATGACCTGCATAAGCCTGATCATGTGGTTCCTTTAATAGGGAGTTGTTGTTTTTCTGTTAGTAAAATATAGCGCAGCATAATGCTATTGTTCTGTATGCAGAGCTCCTACTTAAAATCTGTAGTTTGCACAAAAAGCAATAGTGGAATGTGTTAACAGCCATTAGAGTATTACATGCAGAGCAGTTGCAGATATTTTATCACATCCTTTGCAATCTTATTTAGAATTTACTAAATATACTGAATCTGAAAAAGGAATCCCTGCATAAAAAGACTTCAAAACCAGTGACTGACAACATATCTGTGCTGGTATCCCAATTTGCCTGCATACATTCAGCTATGCACCATTGTGAACACTTCTAAACTGCTTCTGTGGTTCAGACATTGTGTCCCACTTTCTCTTTTTTACTCTATGCACATTAAGGAAGGAAATATACCGGCGTTGCTGAAGATTTATATTTATACCTACAACTAGGTTGTGCCTGCAGGCACAGCCTCCAGCAAGGAGTAGCGGGTAAGCAGCAGCACCCTCAGGAATAAACTCTGAGGTACCAGCATGTGTACATGCCTGTTGGAAACAGGAGAGCCTAGAGGGCTGCCCCCTTGCCCCAAGGGAGATAGCGCATTTACCACTTGCCTTTAACAAGGATGACTTGTAACCCTTTCTGTGCTAGCACATCTCTGCTGGGGGATGCACAGAAAGAAACACAACTCTTCCTGCCCTTGTAATTCTTATACACATGGTGTCCACTTACTGCAGTTTGAGAATCAGGGGCATGTAGCCCCCAAGAAAAACCCCTTGTAAAATACCAAATAGTTTTCTTTCAAATATTCAAGATATAGAAGCCATTTAAAACAATTCACCCAATTATTTAGCTATCTTTCAAAGGATTAACAACTGCAGAATTAAGCTCCATAATGGATTATGAGCTGTAACATTTTTATTTTTTTTTTATATATTCTTGCTGGGGAGGAAGACAGGGGTCCTTTCCTCAGATTTATAAGCAAAGGAAGCTGTTTCTAGAAGCACTCCATAAAAAACTGTTAGGTTTATGTGTACCAAAATACATTCTTTAAAACGGGGAAGGGAGCTACTCTGCATATTAGTACTTTGCTGACATCCTCAAGACACACTAAGAGTCAAACATTAAGATATGTTTTAAATTGGAGAAATGCCACGGAAGTCAGAGCTATAGCATGCATAAATGATTCTGTTGTGCTTAGGTATTTAAAGCCTACTCGTTGGCGACTATTAATTTTGGGGATCTTTTCTGGCTATTCATCATTGTGAATAGCAGTCCAATTCTTTCAGTGTATTTTTTAAACTATGTCAGGCATTCAGAAATGCTGCTAAGTGCAATAAAATTATTACAGTGCTTCCATTCGGATGATCAAGTTTCATCTCCATTTTTATTTAAGGTAATCAAGACCAGAAAAGAATCCATTATTGCATTCTCTATCTAAATTCCAAGCTTAGAGTCTTCATTATTTTGTGTACCCTGAAGTAACTCTGAAGCACCCTGGGTATCCTTTATTCACCAACACTAAATATTTGAGTGTTGCACACTCATAGGACATAGGAAGGATAAAAAAGAAGCCTGCCTTTCTCAAATATGTTTGTTCAATGTCTCCTAGCCTGTGTAGATTGAGTCGCGTCTGTCCATTAAATTACAGTGTAATCTAATCAGTATAAACTTCTCTTTTATCAGTGTTTCTACTATCTGTCCCCTGCAGAAAGCCTGGTTTGATGGCTGAGTGGTTTTAGATCTTACCTTCTTCCTTTCTGTAACTTGTATTGTGCTACTAAGAACCTAATTGTTGCACTGCGTCTGTGCAAAAGTCCTCCTAGACCAATTTCCCATGTCTGATGCGAAGGGAAGGAGCATACTAAAGCAGGCGTATGTAAAATTGTCCCTCCCTTAACGTGATCCTTCCAGGCCTCTTTTTTAAGGCCTTTGGATTATATTTGTCATGGGGGAAGGTAAGGTCTGCAGCTAACTTGCAGTCCAGGCCCAGGTTGTTGAGGCCATAGAAACTGATGAAGCATCTGTCTCCTTCCGCTTCGGAGCCGGCAGCCTCTCAGGCTTCCTGCACCAGAAGGAAGGGCGGAAGGGACACTGCCTGAAGCCATGACTCATTACAGCCTGAAGAAAGGAGACAGCCAGGGATAGCCAAGGATCTAGGAGCTGGGAAGCACTTCTGTGTTGCACGTTATTGTCATAGCCCATCTCCCACCTGCCCGCAACTATGTGACACAGGCGCCCTCTTCCAGGCCATACAACCTTTCCTAAGGCCTTGCTCTATTGTATCCTTTGGTATCTCAAAGTCGTACTATAGCCACAAAGCCTACAGATCCGTAACAATAGGGCTGGTTGGTGTAGGTGTAGCTTCTCCCTTCAGGACCTTCTGAGGCACCAAGAGATGCCTGTAACATCTCCTCAGCCACTGGATCGGCCTTGCCATGAGCGTGGCAGAGAACTCACCTATGAACTACAAAGATACAGGGAGGCTAGACATGGCCATCTAGTGTAAGATATACTAGGATTCAGTCACCTTGCTTCCTTATCTTTAGGGAGCTGTCAAGTCTTTGTGCAAAGTCCCTGGTTTCCCTTAACAGGGTCTCTCAAATACTGGCGTGTAATTTATCCAGGCCTGGTACTCTGTCTGCTTTTAATAGCTCTAATTGCTCAGTTATCTGCTCCAGTGCCTTGGGAAAGCCATTTAGTATCCTACTTCCTTCCACCTCAGGAAATTTATCTCTGCTTCTGTGATGTTATCTTCTGCTTCCGAAAAAAAATCAAAAAGGAATTATGCTGCACTAGAATCACATTAAGATTTTCCACAAAATCTGTTCCTGGTTCCTGTGTATCTAACCTTTCCTATGCTTGTGCGCTTCTTCAGAAAGCAGAGGTTTGTCAATTCTGCTTTTCTTTCTAAAGAATATTTAGCAAACTATGACTGTCAGCAATTCTGCTTTTCTTTCTAAAGAATACTTAGCAAACTGTGACTGTCAGCATCCGATGCATATCAAGTATAAGTCTGGGTATGGGTAACCATTTTAGTAGAGCTGGACAAACAGGACGGCAGTGAAAAGAAAGTGAGCCTGAAATGATGTGAAGGAGCCGACTCATGTGATAACAGAATATAAGTCAGGGGTTAAGCACAGTCTGCTAACTACAGGAATCTGTACTAGGAAAAAGGGAACAGCCTGCTGCTGCATTATGGTAATCTTTTTTCAGTATTTGAAATGTGAACTTGGTTTTGAAGATGGGTTCATGTGAGCACAGAGCCAGCAGAGCCAACTCATGTACAGATTGTTCTCCAGCTGGGACTGTCAGATCCCTGTCTGCATGTGTTTTGCTATTGTGTCTATTAATAGCTATCTTTTTAACCCTCTATCCAGGAATACTGTATAACTCACAGAAGGAGTGAGTTAAGTTTCTTCACAATAGTGTTTTCATTCCTACTTTTTTTTTTCATCCATGATTAGATAACTGGAAAAAACAGCCTCTTATTTCCCACATACAGCCAGAAAAATAAAGGATTTTCCTTGACAGCTATCAGTGCCCCAACTATATTCCCTACAAATCTATTTCTAGGGAGACAAATTGTGATTAAAAGAAAAAAAAAAAAACCAAAACCAAACCTGTAATCCAGATTACAGCTAAATTTAATGAGATGGAAGCTACTGGCAAGAACATAGAACGTGCTGCACTGCCTTAAAATAAAGGGGCACATTATTTTCCAAAACACACAGATTTATCCAGTTCTGCCTGTTATTTGAAAAAATACTCAACCATATTAGCAGAACTATAATTTTGCATTACATTTAAAGAGCAAAAAATGTAACTTATCTGTACAATGCTATGATTTCATAAGGCTGTAAATTCTTTGTTAACTGATCTTTTTTGCTGTTTTAAAAAGAGCCCATTGCTACTGCATTTGCAGTTTTTTAAAAGGCTTACATTTGGAATGAAAAGAAACTTACTTTTGGGAACAACAAATATTGCTAGTTGAGAAAAAAGCAGGAGTACTGTACCCTGTCAAAATGATTGAATGATGCTCTGAAGTCATTCATTTGTTCCTGGGTGATACCCTTGGCATCTCTTGTGAGGATCTGAGTCTCAACCTCATTGATAGTTCGAGCAATGGTGGTAAGTAGGAGCTCCCATCCCACACGGATGTGCTATGAGAGAGAAAATACTGATTTGTTAAAGAATCAAATATATTCTTCTAAGAGTATAAAAAGTACAGTAAGCAAAAAATCAGCTCTAAATATTTATACGATACCTTTTCCATACCACTAACTCTATATTATGACCAAGGATCATTAAAAATAAAAATGGCCTTCAGAAAAATATGGGAATGGTTTCCTAAATGGGTATTTCTTCACTAAAAGTAAAAATCAGTGAAAGTAAAACAAGTTTTATGAGATTATCAGCAAATTCCATCCTCTGCTGCAGTCTCTTCAGATCAGGGAAGGTAGTTTTATGGCAGAAGAGGGCAGAATAAACTAACAAGTACAAAAGGGAGTAAATGGCTACCTCCATAGTATAGTTGGTGTGCTTGTTGTCAAACACCAGGGCTTCTTGTATAAGCTGATGATCTCCTTCCAGTTTGTCAATGTTGTGTTTATAATTAATGATATTGTGCTCATATTGCTTCAGCTGATTCATCTGGTCCTCCAAAGGCCCTGTCATTTCAATAGAGCTGCGGGCAATTTCCTGTCAAAAGAAACAAAGACACCCCCCACCCCGCAAAATTTAGGTTTGCTAATCTGACCAATGTTCACATAAATATGTAGTATTTTCATACTAAGAAGCAATAGTAATAAAACCTTCATACAATGGAAATGATAGATTTTACTGTAGAAAACACATTTCAACAGAAATATGTGGCACATTTGTTTCTGGAATTAGTATTAAGACCCCAGTGATGCTGGTATCTTTCCTTTACGGAAAGAAGCAGCTAAATAGTAATTGTTTAGCGATTGATTTTTCAAAGCTGCATCTACTGCTCACCATCAAGGTACCACTTGTACAAGCTTCCAAAGTTTTAAAAATCATCTTAAGAGGTGCTAAATACTTCAGGATCAAACAGCTGGTGAACTATCATGGAAATTGCTGTTGTCCTGTATATAAAGCAGAGATAAAAAATTATAAGCCACCTTGTTTGTTGGCTTCTGTGTGAGGGTCTGACACTCACCTCCATCTTGGTCTGGATCCATGGCCCAATGACATTGGCCTGAGCAGCAAACTGGCGACGCAGGCGCTCGTTGGCATGCTGGCGGGCTAGTTCCTCCTGCAAGGATTGATCCCTCTGAGGCACCAGCTGCTTCACCTGTTACAGTGGGAAAGCACTAAGTGTGAGTAGCCACAACTGAATAGCTTAAAAACAAATGGAACAAATAAGTCTACAGTTGCTAATTTTTCTTACTGGTCTGAAGGTTGATATCAGAAGGACAAGCCAGAAACAAGATCACTATTTTATTTACCAATTCTGTGCTAACATAAGAAATTTGCTAACATGGTCTTGGGCAGCCTGACCAGAGAGACTGACATGGAGAGAGGACAAATTCTCACCACTGGCTGGATTCAAGTTCAAGACAATTATTTAACTTGAACTGCTATTAGAGCAGTTACTTTGTTTTTCTTTTGAAAACACAGGTGATTTTTCAATCTCTAAGTAATTGTTCTAAGAATAGTCAGTGCAAAACATTTTATTTGAGCACAGCCATTACAATAGGATAACATAAGACACATTCTGTCCATCATGTATATCTGAAGGTCTCTAATGCATTGCAAATGCTTTTTTTGGCTTACCCTTCTGGATTGCCCTGGGACATTCTGAATTTAGTCCTTATTGTTTGTTTTTTACAACCCATTGAGGGTGTGTTCTTGTCTGTGTAAGTTTACGTATTTGGTAAATTCATACATTCTACACAATCAATTACCTTCACCATATTATCTGTCTTGGTTCCTAATGAAAAAAAGTTAGTGTGATTGCTGTAGGAGCCTCTCTTTAATCCCTCACTAGTAATTTTTTAAGGTAATTGCCAATTTCAATCTAATTGGACAGAACATTAATGGTCCCAAAGGTGCTATTTTTACAACATTTGTGAAAAGCAGCAGCTGGGTAGTGGAGACACATGAACTACTGTTTATACTGAGAGAAAGAATACGATCATTTTCTGTTATTTTGACGGCATCCCCTAGCCCGTTGGCTGGCCAGCCACCAGCTCTGCTCTAGCCCCAACACATGCTTCTCTTGCCCCGCCAAAAAGCCAAAAAGGACGTAGGTAATATTGAGTGATGGGAGCAAGGGATATTGTGAAGCGAGCTTAGCAAACATAAAAGGGAGAGCATAAGATACTGTAGAAAGTTCATCCTGGCATCTGATGATCCAGAAAAATTTACAGATTTATTGTAAAGTTCTCTGAATATTCTCAGCATTCCTAAATTAGAATACTATGTTACAATGTCCTTTATGTATTTAGCATACGTTACCTTTTCCCACTTGCTACGAATCTCTTCGACAGTAACAGTGCTGTAAGGATTGCTTGCGCTTATTCTCATGCTGTAACTCTGAATAACTTTTTCAACTTCATTCTGGATAGACAGTATGGCCTGTCTTTCACCATCTGCCTCTGGCAAAGTGGCTTTAAATTGATCATGTGCAGAGATTAAACTCTAAAATCAGAAACAGAGAGGGAAAGCATGAAAAATTTAATGTTTCTTCTAACATCTGGAAGATCTGCTGTAAATAAGCACAGCTCCTCTCTCAGCCTCTCAACACCCTGTCTACATGTATCTGTAGATACAGGAAATAATATGCGCAGATACATTCATGAAACAGCCCTCATTGACTTTATCAGGACCATCGCTTCTTCCATGATCTCTGGAACATGCTTTGTTCCCAATGAAGAACCCTATTTATAATAGAGCGGACGTTGCCTATCACAAATAAAATGTCAAGACGGATACGTTTTTTTTCTTACAGGTGTTCTACTCTCCAAGAAGGAAAAGCTTCCTTTCTTGTTTTCCCTATGACTGTAAGCCAAAAAATAGACAACCATTTACCTGAATTTCCTCTATGCTATGAACAATAAACATGTCCTGTAGGTCTTCCATAGCACCTTCCATCCAGTTGTTGAAAGGAGCAGCTCTTTTGGCAAACTCCAGGTGAAGCTGATCAACTGTTTCGAGCAATTTCTCTGTCCTCTGTACAGGTTGGGAAAGGTAAATTCCTTTGTTACTAGGGCAAGACTAACTCGACACACATACCCACCCATGCACAAAGTTATGCCTCATCTTTTCAAAAGCAATTGATTGTATTGTTGACTGATTTCATCACCTGCTTTAAGGATTCTCACTCAAGGTAATAGGACTAATTGAAGTAAAGATACTCTCATATCCAACATGTTAAAAGGGGTATATGCCTTTGAAGGATAACAGGGGAAATTACTTTTTCACTACTGATATTTTAAGTATTTTTTGTTACTGTGATCTACCTGCACATCAGTTAAAACCTGCTAATCTTGCTTTAGTATTTCTTGTAAGTTTAAAAAGGAAGAGTTGACATATGTTTTCCACTTTGGCATACATGTGTGTTACTTCCTCTTTCCGTAAGGAACAAGGTTTTGGAACGTATCTCAGTGCTTCGGAATACTCACTACCAAAAAATTAATCCAGTGCTGGCCATTATCCTGTACCTCACCTGATTAAGCTCAGACAAGTATGAAAAGGCAAGTACCTAATGGCTTTCGTTATCCTTGCTGGACATCAAATTCCCAAAGAGCAGTGCTATAAAGTGCATTGCGCCTTTTGTTGCTGCTTTAGAACTGTCCTTGGCAGCTGAGCGCTAAGTCTGCTGTGAGCAATTCAATCTGTTTGCAAATGAAACCACAGCAAAATGAAATGGAGATCTGAGGAAAGGGTTTATTGCTGTTTGGATTTCAAAGTGGATGCTCAATGGCACTGTTTCCAGATCTGAAACAAATGGTTTATTCCCCCCTCCCTGCCTCAGCTGAGCTGCTGATCATTGTTATATGGTTTACCTCCAGTGCCTCTCTCCTTTTCTGAGTAAGTGTTCCCAGGCTGTCCCACTGGTCACATATCTTTTGGCATCTATCATTGACACTTGCAGCATCATGGTAGTCCAGTTCACTAAGAAAGAGTGAAGACAAAAATCTATGTGACTTTCTGAAAGACAGGAGCAGTTGCATTGTCCACACTCTTCCACTGGCCCTCAGTAATTCTTCCCCTCTTTTTTGCAAGATTTATCCTCCAGGTAAGCAAGTGTTGCAGTATAGACATGTGTGATCTAGACATTCAGCATTTCAAGAAGCACAGCACAGGAACAGGATCAACCTCCTCTGTTGTGAGAAAAATCAAGTATTCATCTGTCACATTCAGGTATTAAAGACAATTAAGGTGTCTAACCATTTTTGTCTCAGCTATTCCTGTGGCACAAGCAATTTGATCTCCTGAAGATCAAAATGCATCAGTCTGGGGCTTTATCAAGTTTCTGAAGATTGGTACAGTTTTAAATTAATTGGCCTGAAATACACATTCCGTTTTAAATAATCCAGTTATCCTTTCCAGCCTCCTATGCTCTGAAATTATTTAACTGAGAAACAGACCTCACATTGCATTCAAAGCATACTTTCTCTCTCACAGGCCTGGCAATACTAATAGAGGCTGCCCAGATCTGGGGCACAGAGAATAATTTTCATCTTCCTCTCCAGGAACTCCTCACAGAGCTACACCCTAGAACTGGCTGGTTCAGAGAACAGGAATCTCTAGACCCACATATGCCACCAGCATGAATCCGTGCACCCACAAAGGATGTAGCAGTTAGCATTGCTTTTTCATCTGCTTAATAGGCTTCTATTATCCTGACAGAAAGCAAATTACTATCCTGCTTAAGACTGGAATAACTTTTTAAGGCTCTGTCCTGAGATTCTGCACTGAGTCTGTCTCAAATTGAATTTTTGGTCTCAGTGGCAGATAATCCCCTTGGTTCTGCTGCAGCCACCATGACCATAATAAAATACATGCGTTTGGCACTTTGGAAGCTCACTTTTATTGGTGTATCATCATCCACTGAATTTAGCTCTTGGCTGCTCCTTGAGGACACTTTGCTCAGTACTAAACATTGCAGAGATTGTGATTATGTGACAGCATGGCGATATGAAACTAAGATTTACTTTAAGGCTTGAACAAGACATTAAATGCAGATAGAATTTGTTCCCTTCTTCTGAACATTCTTCTCTGGCAAATTGGCAAGAGGGATGTACCAATCACTTCCACCAGTAACTTAAAGAATCGCAGAGGACAAAATGAGAACAGAGGTAGCTTTCCTCCATGAAGCTACACTGTAGACCAGGGGCAGTGTTCACACTTCCTCCTCTAAGCTCAGTCACAGCAATCTGGTTCAGGATAAAGTTGAGAAGTATGTGAGCCATTCTGTTTAAAAGAGGCTTCAGATGTGCTGCAATCAATTGACTGTTGAAAGTCTAGAATGGTAAAACAAGTAAAAATAAAATGCCATAACAATTTTAAAAAATAACAAAACCAACCCAAAATTGCGAAGGTAGAACTGTTACATGTAAGGAGAAAGCTGCCAGCAAGCCATACTATACAAGGGCTCCTTAACTTAAAAACTTGCTTCCTCCTTTAGAGCAAGCCTTTTTGTTAGCCTTCAATGGATGCGACAAAAGCCATCTATTTGTTAAGAAATTTTAAGTCAGAAGCATGGAGTTTTGGATGAAACAGGCCGAGATATATTTTGCTGCTAAGAGTTTTTGGCTGGAAGTTGGTTTTTTTCATTATAGCATATTGAGATTATTAGGTGAAGTTCCTGTGTGAGCTGTGAGCTCACTAAGTGGATGGGATGTGGAGATTTGTATTCTGGTCTCTTTTCGCATACCAAATCTAATATACCAGAATATGGACAGGGTATTTTTCCAGGTACTCCAGGTCACATCCCTGAGAGTACTGCAAATTTTATTTTTGCTTCAATGGATCATTTATCTCCTTTTGTCAGTTAGGATAAGGGCAGGTGTCCTTCCATGAAAGTGAGGGACTGATTGTACCAGCTCTGGTCAAAGTCCTAGAAGGTAATGTGCAATGTTCCTCCACCAGCTCTGCCAGGGAGGTTCAGTCATTGCCCATAAGGTCTCTGCTATCCTATTGTGCTGTGGACAAATAGCTAGGAGAATAATATTATCGAAACAACTTTTAAAAAGGGCACCTGTGGGTCAAAAATCTAAGTTAGATCACCAAGTGGCATTAAACAGCGTAGCTCCACTGCCTTTCTGGGCCTGCTGTAGTTTAATTCAAATAAGTGTATTATATATGTGAAAGAACATTTTTCTGCTCAAAGCAGAAGAGGAAGAAATAGCAACTCATAGGAGATTATTTACTTGGAAATAAAACACAGGTTTACATTTCTTGTCCTATTAATTTTTGTATCTCTCAACATAGAAGATGTGAAGAGACTAGATTTCACGTTTTGTAAAAAGAAGTTTTGCTTATCGTGCATACACAAGGTACTGCTGCACATGTGTTAAAGAGCTTCCAAGAGAACAGTCATTTCTATTCGTTTGGTTATTTGAAATCTATAGCCTTTGGAATTTGAAAATCATTAAGCTATTCCTATTGGTCTTACAAGTAATTCAATCTTATCTGTAAATAATTAAAAATTTAGTCAAATTTTGTCCTGATCCAGAGAAGCACTTAAGTATGAGATCACTTTAGGAACAGTGATAGTGTCACAAAAATAACTTGCTGAGCAACATGCTTTAGCACTGCTTCAGAACCAGGCTCATGTTAATCATGCACGTAAGCACAATTTGAGCCCAGGTTTCCAGAAGCAAAAAGACTCTCCAAATCAGTGTTACAGATAGTGGTCTTCTTGGCTGGAAATAAGTTGCTATACTAGAAGTGATGGATATGCAAGAAACTACATTCCAAAAATTTTATCCTAATACTTGAAAACATTGAAATGAGCACGCAAGATCATAAATGAAGAGAGCACTTCATATTACAGCTCACTCAAGTTCTAGTCAGCATTTGCTATGTCCTAAATGGCAAATCCCATCTGAGAAATGCCTGGCTTTTTCCAGCTTTCTATATAAGCCCTATCCAAGCCATGTCATGCCTCATTGCCAAGGATTTCTAAGTCTATACAGGCTGGAACACAACAATCTTATAGCAGCATCCTGGCTGGAACCACCTGCTTGCACGCACACACACACACACAAATCCTTTATCTATACAGCACCAATCAACAAGCTTTTAGCAACTTTAACCTTAAGCGCACAGTGGACTGAGCTGCTGCAGCAGAAGATGTCAGAACAGAGAGGAAACTGTAACTGGGAGAGTTCAAGGTCCCAGAGCAATTGTTTTCCTTTAAAACAGCAATATTAGGCAGCCAAGAGATTGACTAAAACAAAACATGGAGGTGTACTGACTTGGAATTTAGACACAGGTGATGGTAGTATCCGTAAGGGCCTGATCCAGTGACAAAAAAGCCCAAGAAAACAATACCCACATTGACTTGAACAGGCTTTGGATCAGGTGCCAATGCACATTTCTTAGCATTCAGACATTAGTCAATCCTTCTTTAAAAATATGAATGGAGAAAGAAATTAGCATTTTTCTCCATAATTTTATTGTGTGAGGAATTATGTATAAATAATTAAAACAAATATTTAAATAGAAGCTGCCCATTTGCTTGCAGCTAATAATAAAACTTGACCTTTATGACCTTTCATTCAGTGTTCTCCAAGGGCATTAAGCCTAGCTGAGCTACCGAGTCTCAGTGAAAAATCAGGCACTGATGGCCCCATTGTATGGAGAAGCAGAGAAGTCAAAGTAGAGCATCTCTAAAAGCGATGGGTTTTCAGCACCTTTTAGCCCAGGCCACAAATAACTTAAATGTTTAACTTCACACAGCAAATTACTGAAACAACTGAGAAGAGGCAATCCTAAAATAGACAGGATACAGTGTTCACTGGCCTCACTAGAGGTAAAGGACACAGGGTTCAAAACGCTGGTAAGCAGATGCTGTGCTATGCATACTGCATTCCCAAACTTTCTCATCACTTGTAAAGCTGAAGCTGAATTAATGATTATTAGATGTTTCAGAAACTTTGTTTAGTGTAAAGAACAACTAACTCCACAACAGAGATCAAGGCATGACAGAAGGTGTTTCATAAGCTCCCATACTCAGTGAAATCTCCATTCTCTGTTTCAGACTTCTTTCACACTAACTAAAAACCAGTACGTACTCTGCCCACTGTGCTTTACTTTTCCTCCTTTAAATAATCTTGAAAAATAGGATTTTTCTTCTAAAACCATTTGAATTATGCAATTACTGTAAGTGCTGCTGCTATCAGGTATGAAGTACATTTTTAGACAACTCTCTGATTTTTAAATTGTTAATGAATGTGGAGCTGTTAGGAGTCATGGTCCTTCACAATGTGAAAAGAGGGCATGTTTTTAACACTTGATTTTTGAGTAGTAACTTTTGCCTATTCAAGCAGGTGAGAAACTGAAACTTGGAGAGCTGAAGCCAAGGGCAGGAATCTGAGAATTTTGATCTTGGCTCCTGTTTCGACCACTACTGCACATTTGTTCCTGTTGGCTTTACAGATTTATACTGTGGGTGCGCAATGAATTTAAGCATGTGCCAAATTGCTAAGATCAGGAGTAGCACCACTGATTTACAGTACAAAACCACTGCAATTAACTGCATAACATTATAAAACCAAATGTGCTTAGTTTGGTGTACACACCAAGACGGCTTTACCAGAATAGGGACATCGGTATGTAATACTACAGTCCTGTCAGTGTGAGCAGAGCTTTGCTGACAGAACTGTGCCTCACACAGGTGATTTAACACCCTTCCCACAAACAAAAGCAAGCTCCACTGATAAAGACAGAGTTTAGCCAGAGTAACTACATCAACACTCAGGACTTTGGCTGCCCTAAGGGTGTCTGTCAGTCAGGGGCCTTGACTTTTCACATCCCTGACCTACACAGCTGATGTCAACAATACAGATGTAGCCTAAATGTGTTGTAGAATTGTTCTCAGCCTTGGTTGTGTTTTCTCTGGGTATAGTATGCTGAGTGAGCAAGTGTTGGTCCTGTGGCTAAGTTGATGGAACTGTGGGTGAAAACTCCTGCTCTCCTATAGGAGAGCTTGTGTGCTTGATTGCTTGTGTGACCCTTAGAAAGTTATTTAGTTTCCATATGCCCCACTGCCCTTTGTGTAAAGTGGAGACAATGACACTTCCAAATATAATACAAAGAGATTGTGAAAATAAGAATACTAGAGACAATTAAATCTTCAGAAAAGTCAGTGCATTAACCACTCCTACAGAGATAATTTAGGGATGTGAACCCTTTTGAAAGGGCCAATATGCTTGTGGGAAAATACCTGATTTTAAAATGAAGATGCTTGATCTGTAACTCATGTAAGTGAAATTATTTTCTAAGTTAAACAACTCGTAGCAGACCATATGAACTGAGAAATAAACACCTCCAGCATTCCCATCAACACACAATGGACTCATCAGTAGAACTAATACTAAAAGATTAGTGTTAAGTCAATATTAAAATGTTTGTTTTCAAATAATTTCGGTCAGTTGAATATCTATATTTGGTTGGGGGTAAGGGAGAGATGAGGGAAAGGTCTCAGTGACCAGCTCAGATAATATACTTATGAAGCTATCTCTGGAATTCTTACGTTGGTACCTATGACACTATCAAATTCATTGGAAAGAGTTTATCGCAAAGTTAAATGTCAGCAGCTGCAAAGCCTTTAAATGGAACATACTTCAGCTCCTGGGCAATGGCAGCGATCTGTTCCACCCTGTCCTGGTGAGCAGCCAAATCGCTCTCAAAAGCTTCATGTTTCCTTAACATGGCTCGGACTTCTGTCAGAGAAGCAGATTCATAATCCTTCTGAAGTAAGATCTGCTCTTTGCCTGAAAGAGGAAATTAAAGTATTAGTCATTTTTTACTAATTTATTGGTTAGAACAATTGCAAATTTAGTCAACTTTTTAAATTGAGGCATGGTGAGCATTACATGTATGAGATGAAGTCCCACACCCACTGAAACCGGTAGCAAACTGTCAGCACAACAGTGTTAATTAGAAATATATATTTTTAAAGATCTCTCAGTAACTCCCTGATTTTTGCATAGGCTGTTTATACTGGTCTAAAATAGTGAGTATTACATTGCTTGAGAAACTAGCATAAAAATGGTATATTGGCAAAAACTGGGGCTCTAAACTATTGACGTAAGTCTTTTGTAGAGGAGACTCATGAAACCAGAAATCACACTGCTATCTCAGCTTCACTCTTACTAATGATCTGTTATTCTTTTTCATGTTCTGCCTTCAATTTATTATTCATTTCAGCACTTAAAAAAAAAAATTGAGACGTGTGTCTGCCTTTTGTATCAAACACCAAATTTTAAGTGGAAAATGCCAACCTATTTACAAAAGGCTAGAGATGCAAAGAGGAAATCAGAAACTGAAGTATTATTCCTCAGTAGCTCCTGTGTTGGACAAGTCAATCTATACAGACAGCCCATACAACTGCAGCTCACCACATGGCATTACGCAGCTCTGTGAATTCTAGAGCCAGAAGGGACTATTGTTTCACTTGCTATGTACCAGCTTATGTGAAGTTTTCCCTGCATAACGGCCATAACATGTCACCATGAGTAGTTTATGCTCAGAAAATAGGCTCCTAGGGCTGATAAACACTGTAGTTTCCCTTCTAATATCTGTTTGGCAGCCATTTACAGCCTTGTATGCTTCCAGCAACTGTGTTACGGGATGGACTCTGGTTTACTTTCGCAGTGTGAAAAGATTCTAGCTGGAAAAAGCCAGAAGCATGGCAGAAACAGGAAGACTGTTGTCAGGGCAAACAATAGGACAATAGAGCAGATCTATGTTTAATGGTCCCCAACAAAACTGTATGCCAGTGTATGGTCCTATAGCTGTTACAACTACACGTAAGGTTAGGTTACCATTAAAAACCAGAACTATAAATGGGGTGTAATCCAGGGTATGGAGCAAAGCAAAAATGAGTCCATTATCACGTAGTTTATGTGGACTATTCAAAATGTCATGATGGCCAAATGATAATCAATTCGGAATAACTCTGTTAATAATTTCACACTTAACCAGTGGTGTCACTGCATTCCTGGTTCGATTGCTGGTGTACAAATACATAGGAATGCATTAGCAGTAATGGCCTCTATTCAAATGCTGAATATTCCCATTAAGTTTGACTCACTACCTTCAGAGTATGATTTTTACAGTTACATTTCATTAGCAACATGCCTACAAATTAGGATCATGACTATAGTCAACAAAACCTGCAATTTTATCTTTTATTATTTTGGGTTTCTAAAACTGTCCAAATTACTTACAAGTGAGTTTCTGGCTGGCAAATATTCAGCACTGACAGTTCAACCTTCAACATTAAAAATGTTAAAAGCCATATCTGCTCACCATATGCCCACTGTTCATGAGTGGAAGCCTTCTGCCTGAATTTCTCAGCCAAGTGTTCAAGTCTTTCCAGTCTTCGTATTTCATTCAGCAGCCACTCTTCATAGCCTTTCTCAGCTTGTTCAAGTCTCTGCCAAGCGCCGGCAATATCCTGTGAAGAGAATACATGGTAGAGAGGGGATGAACCTATAATCTCTTTTTATCCAAATTTACAGATTTCTGATTCATTCCTAATTTTACTCCAGAAAGAGAATTTTTTATGTCCAGTTTTTGTAAAATCATAGAATCATCGAAAATGTTGCCAGGCAGCTGAGGAAGTCTTGTAGTCTAGACATCTGCTCCTAATAATGTGCCCTATTCAGGTGGGTTCATGAAAGGAACCCCTATACAAATAGCTTCCAAGCATAGCTATACATTCAGCGTCTTCACGATATATTGCTTTTACTTCCATTTTACAATGTGCATGTTCTTTTATGACATACCTATCTCCTATTGAAATAAAAGTGTTTTGCTCCCAGAAGTTGACAATAGCAAAATTATTAGTGTCAAGAGGATTCGTTGTGTATTTTATCTGGAATACAAACTCATTTCACTTTCTGTGGTGCACAAAGTTTTGTGAGCTTCCTCAGAAATTCAAAGGCATGAGTAGGAAACTGAAGTGACAGGCCCTTTATTTTCTGCATATGGGGAGTGGACAATGGCCCTCTTCAGATAGTGCAATCATCTGTTTATCAAATCTGAGCAACCAAAACACAATGATAGAACAGAGTACAGAAACAGGTTTGCTATATTCCACAGGAAATATTGTGACCCACAGTCAGCTCACAATACTTATCAGCAGATGAGAATTCTTGGTACTGGCTATTCTTACCTTCACAGACATAAGAAAAAACAAAATTTAACTTTAAAAAGTAGAAAAAAGCAGAAACGTATATTGAGCAATGTCTGTTTCTGTAAGTCTGATGACCAAAATGTCAGTGGAACCACTGTGAGTTTATATATAAACAATACATATAATATATATATA